ATCGTGCACATAAAATCTTATCGTCGTTGCGGCAGAGATCAAGGGTTATTGTGACAATCAACGGACAAAGCGTCGGCTTCGATGTTTGAGTATAGAGGAAGACGAAGGAAAAGAGGAGGGGCATTGAGTTCATTCGACGCTGTTCACCCGCTCTCTCTCCGGTCTACCTGTTTTCGTACGCCTCAGATGGAACAAGGTCTTCGTCTCCTCCCTCTCTCTCGACCTATGATGCACGGACACGGACACGGACACGCACTGCATGGAAACGGGACACAAATTTTTTGAAAATATAGGACACGGGTACGACGCGGACATGGCATTACATTTTTTTATATAATGTATTGATATTAATGTAACATTATATTAAAAATGTCAAACAATAATAAATAAATGACATGATAACTCGTCTAGCTTATAATATAAAATATTTAGTACAAAATGTCTAGTACAACCACAAAAATATAAGTAAATAATCACTTACTACAACATCAAGCATTCAAGTTTCAACTACTAGGATTAGCTTTAGAGGTTTGTTTTGGCCTTCAATATCATCATCATTGAATATCATTGCTTTCAACTCTAGTTCAACAAGAGAAAAATTTGCAATATTTCATTGGATATCATGTAATGAAAGTTGGTTCTTCTTTGTGTCTTTTTACTCTAGTTCACTAATTCTCTCCCATGATATCTCTTTATCCTCTAATCTAAATTACAAAGAATGTATCTATTTACTTCTATTATTCTCTAATTCTCTCTCATAATAGTTCATTGGATATCATATATTTATAATTAAAATAATTTATCATAAAAAATTATGTCACGCGTGTCCCAAACGTGTCCGACACGTGTCTGACACATGTCACAGCCATTTCAGGTTAAATTTAAACATTATTTTAATCGAACACGTGTCTGCCGTGTCCGACACATATCCCAGCCGTGTCGGTCACGTGTCCGTGTCCGACACTGCATTCTCTCTTCAAGAGGTTTGTCGGTGCATCATAGCTCTCGACCCCAACCCTAGCCAACCCCTACATCTCTCCGTCCCCCTTGCTCAAAACCACCCAGATGAACGGACTAAAGTCCCCACTTTGTCTCTTCCTCTCGCTCTCCTCTATTCTTGAGACACCCATGACCTTCCTCCCTCATTATTTTCTCACGATCTCAATGTTGAACCCCTCTTTGGATCACTCGTCCTAGAGAAGCCACAAGCCTTCGCAAGACGACTCGATCGCCTCCCTCTCGTGCCTCAGCTGCAGGTATATTCTCCCTTCCTCTTTTTCTTCTCCTCATTATTTTTCTTCTCCTTCCCTTTTCCCTTCTTGTTTTGCCTCTTCTTTCTCCTCATCTTCCTCTTCTTTCTCTTTATCATCTTCCCTTCCATCTTCCTTCATTCTTCTTTGAGAAGCTATGGCAATCAAGAGTAATAATGGCGAATGAAGTGCACTTTTCCTCTTTATAATCAAATACATACATTTGCTTGATTTCTAGTTTTTTTTTTATCAGTAAACTTTCTTTGCTTTTCTTGAATGTATAGTTTCATGAGATATAAATGAAATTCATGTGTTGATTTACATTGTTTGGAAATGAACTCTTTGTACATGAAGTTTGTACTTGCTCATGGTTTAAATCATATGATGGGTAATTTAAAAATTCATGTAGAAGTCATGAGGGATTATGAGAAATTATGTCATTTTTTATCAAAAGAAGCATGCAAGGTGTTTGTGTTAATGCTTATTGAGAAGTAGTGCAAGTTTTTGATAAAAAAAAAAATGGCATGCAAATATAATTTCATTCCGTTTCATCTTCGCATGAGTTATGATCGATTGGAAGCATGCCTAGCTCAAAAAATAAATAAATAATTCAATGGTGGCATGTTTGCCTACACTCAAAAACTTCTAGAAGTATTTTTATACAGCATCCTCTTTCATGTGCTTTGTGGGGCCCACCATACATCTAAAGATTCTGTCTGAAAACTGACACTTGTAGGGTTAGAAATTACGTACCTTAGTCATATCAGGCATTTATCTTCATCTATATGAAAGAGAGTAGCTTGTATTTCTAGTTCTTCCATTATTTCTTCTATGGTTGGATAGTGGAGATTCAATCCCATCATTTTATATGTTTCCACTAGATCAACATTTTTAGTTTTAAAATAAAAAGTATAGAAATAATTTTCGGCTATTTGAGAATTGATATAGATTTTTTATGATCATCAGAAATAATAATTCCTTCACCTTTTCTACCAGTTGGTGGAGATTATAGTCAGTCTCTCAATTTTATCTTCAAAATCACCAACTCGATGTTCTAGTACTCTCATTCTGGATTCAAGAAGTGAATGTGTTCGTCGTTTTGTAGAAATCTTACGAAATCTTTCTAGGAATTGAAACACGATATTTATCATTAACACCTTTATAACAAGCTTGAATCAGGCATAAGTTACAAATGTATAGTCTATCAATAGCAAGATATCAAGGGCAAAAAGAAGACTTAGTCTTGTCATCACCTTTCCCTAGGTTCCAATGACAACAAAATTTTTTCGTATCAGTAAGGATAACAATTAGGGATGCAAACGGTTTTAAACAAACTAGCCTTATCTAGCTATAAATAAGCTCTACTTCTCGATGTATCAAATGAGCCTTATCGAGCCTTCTAACAAAAAATTACATCGGGCCTATTGTGAACATATCTAGCAAAGTTTTTTAAACTATCAAATACGGTTGTTCACAAACATATCTAATGAGAATTTTTTAGCTATCAAATGAGTCCGTTCATGAACATTTCTAATTAGTGTTTTTGAGCTACCAAATGAGCTTGTTCACGAACAAACGATCTATGATTTATTTTATATTTGTACAGAAAGCGGGTTGTTCGAGATTTTAGGCGGATGTGGGAAGTAAAAAAAAAAAATATTAAATTTAATAATATATATTTTTTTAAAACTCTAATATAGTTCTAATTGAGCTTTTTTGTCGAGCGCTAATCGAGCTTCTTTATGAGCTTGTTCGCAAGCATTAAACTATACTGTTCATAAACATAAACAAACCGAACACTAAGTTCAATCTCGTTTATTTAGCTATCAATTATTTATCATAAGCATTCAAGCTCGTTCGTTTACCTTATCAAACGAACATGAACGAGCTATTATCGAACCGAGCCACGAACCGAGCCACGAGTAGCTCGTTGAATGCTCGGTTCATTTGCAACTCTAATAACAGTAGAATGGAATTGGATAAGTCAAGGTTAATGTATTGCAACCCTTGTAATTTTTCTAAATCAGATAGATTATATAAACCCGTGTTTTCTAAAATATTATTTATCAATTCATAGCCTGTAGTTGATTTTTTTGTTTCTTTCAAACAGGGGATCATTTGGGATTCATTTTATATAGTCGATGAACTAACTTAGAGAAATATGAAACTATGTGTTAAATTAGTCACATGTGAATAATCGGAGGACTATTGCCTTTTTATCTTCAGAAAGACTTGAGGAATCTATATTTAACAATGCATACCAGTACTGAAAAAAAAAAATCAACGATATACTGAATTTACATGCCTAAGAATCTCTTATTTTTAATAAAGAATGACCCAAAAACAGTAAATTCTCAAAATCCTTCAAAAGATGGCTTGAAATTACAAGTTTGAATTCAACAAATTTGGATTCCAGCAAGAACGAAAAGTTGTCAATCCATTCCATGCAAAACAATAATATTCTAATTTTAATATGCCATTTTCAGCTATGTTTGATTTCCTGCTACAGTGACAGTCGGGAGCAGTCAAACACTTGCATTGTAGGAAAGTCTTACGTTAGGAAAATTTAAGGAAATATCCAGCCAGCCACTGGCTCCAGTTATAGTTTAGAAAGCCTCGTGAAGAAGGAAATAACTAGTCATCTTTGTAGAAGAAAACAGCAGAATCAAAGGCACCTGAAAGTGAAGATATGTTGGAGTAGTAAATTAGTAATCTTCCTAAATAGTGAATAGTGATTGAAAAAAAAAACTGGGAAACAACATCCTTATATTAAAATAGGGATCGAAAATAGCTAAATTATGGAACTCCAGAGCAGCTGCAAATCAACTTGCAGTAGTAAACCAAATCTATCAATGTAATCAAAATACTAGAGAACCCATCCTATTCTCATAGGCACAAACATCATTGCCATGATTACATATAAAATTTAAAACTAAACAAGTAACATTAGCCCACACGATTTACATATCAATATGCAATTATAATAAATTTTCTAATTTGCATCATTATGTTTCGAGCTAATGTTAGTTCACCCTTTGCTATCTGAAATTTCATTTCAACAATTTAACTCCCTCAGTGATATAGTTTCCCTAAATAGTTGTGATAAGTCACTGCAACTAATGATAATGAGGCCATCTCCAACCAAAAAACTCAATTTTCACTCCAAAATATAGTAATACAACAAAATATAGTAACTTATCTCCAACCGAACTCTATTTTCTACCACCAAATAAAGAATATTCCTAGTATATTCCTTCCCATAATTAATTTTCGAATGAAAAAAAAAATAGCGGATGAACAATGCGACGTCAATATTAGTGTCGCACTGTTCATCCGCAATCAAAGAGCAGCATTTTTGCCGATCGGATGGAGCGATTATATTCCTTCCCATAATTAATTTTCGAATTAAAAAAAAAAAAATAGCAGATGAACAGTGCGACGTCAATATTGGTGTCGCACTGTTCTCCCTCAATCAAAGAGCAGCATTTTTGCCGATCGGATGGAGCGATTATATTCCTTCCCATAATTAATTTTCAAATTTAAGAAAAAAATAGCGGATGAACAGTGCGACGTCAATATTGGTGTCGCACTGTTCACCCACAATCAAAGAGCAGCATTTTTGCCAATCGGATGGAGCGACGGAAGAATGCCATACATTTGTATGGAGTTCGGCTAGAGATGCTCTGATAAATGCAAAAAATCCATCTTTTATCTGCCTATAGATTGAGCTTACCATTGTTATTTTTCCAGGGTTAAAGATCATGGTCTTTATAAAGCTTGGATATCTGCTGCATCATTGTCCTCTGCTTAGAGAGTGGCTGGACATGATAGTTTTTTTCAGCCGAAGATGGGTCTGACCGCCTGAAACCTTGGCCACAGGGAATTGTTCGTCGGAAAGAGTATCAAAAGAGAAGAAGACCAAGCAAGCCTATGGATTTTTCATTCACTTTTTATTACTAGCGCATGGACGGATGATTGTTATTTGAATTATGATGAGCCTCTTAATTTTAACGTTCTTGAGTTGGTGCCCATCGTTGTTAACAAAATTTGAGGGTCATTAAAATTTTTAAATTTTATTGTTCTAACATCTCATGGATCTGTAAGTTTTTATTTTTCGTTTCAGGAAATTTTTGGATTTGTTTTGAGATTAATTTAACATATAAGTATTATATTGTACGCATTATAAAATAATTTTATAATATTTAAAATTGATTCTTACCAAGCTTTGATGGATATCGTCACCAATTTTTCTATTTTTTCCCCTCAATTTTGGCTTACGAGTTAAGTTGCCTAATTCAGTCGGTATAGTTGGAAAATTTACTCAGCTTGAGCTAGAATATATTTTGCTTATTTCAGTTTTCAATAATTTAATATTTTTGAGATTGTTTGATCAAATTTATAATTTGGTTTTACAAAAAAATATTATTTTATAGGATTATGGTAACTTTTATCTTTGTAACAGTTCTTGTCATTTTGAGTATTTATTTGAAAATTTTTGTAAGGGTAATTTCAAAAAAGTAAAAAATTATTTTGACATCTTAAAAATTATTTAATTCAATTAAAGCTTTGGGATGTCATTATACACAATCTATGATAATTTGATTATATTTTAAAATAGTGAATTTTTGCTCATTAGTGCTTCGGTTGCTTACTGTTAGGATATTTTGACACTTTGTGAATTAAGTCAAATTATGCTTTATTTAATGAAATGTATTGAATACATGTATAATATTAAAAGAAATGTGACATTGTGGAAGTGAGAAAATTTTGTTATGCCGATGTGGTATTATGTTATGCCGGAGCCAGTGAACTGTTGAGGTGGGATTCTAATATGATATGTGATATTATATCGGAGCCAATGTGCTACCAAGGTTGGATTCTGATATGAGATGTTTTATAATGTTGAAGCCTAAGGGTTATTCTGAAAAATGTCAATATTTATTTATATTTAGCATGAGTTAGGGGTGTCAAAATGGTCGTGTTAGGTTCAGGTCCAACCTGAACTTGACCTGTTGTTAGCTGACTCGACCAAAACTCAACTTGGTTATGGAAATAGGTCGGGAATCCGAACCTAACCTGGTTCGAGTCAACTCGAATTGAGCTTCGAGCCAACATGTGTGGAGGAGGGATCAAGCCTATGTGAACTGTGGGGCCTGCGGCACACGAAATCAAGCTAGGGCGAAGCCAACAGGTACAGACGCAGTAAAGCCAAGATCGCGAACGGGTGTTAGCTTAGGATCACGTATGGCGTGTAGGCTAGAGTTTCTGGGTCAACCTAAACCCAACCTGATTTTAAAAACAAGTTGGAATCTCAAACCCGAACCCGACCCATAAGACAAACTGGTTGACCTGAACTCAGAATTTTTGAGTCGGGTCAAGTTTACTCCCCTAGCTTCAGTATTGTTCATTGGTTAATTAAATGCATCCAGTATCAATATATATTTCAGTTTCATCTTTCCGTACAATAATTAGTTTATTATTACAACATAGTATTTTCAGCTCTTTTGATTTCAGTTATTGACTTCTGTTTTAGACTGCAATAACCTACCAAGCCATGTTAGCTCACTCATACTTTTACTTTCATTTTAGGGTAGTTTTTGAGCTGAGTAGTTTTTGATAACATGCTCCTATCTATGTTATAGGTATATTTTAATTTGTTTTAATTTTTGAAGACTTGACTTTTATTTTATTATGTTGTGTATTACCAAGTGCTATTGTAGATATTTCATATTTTATATGTATTTTTCGATGATAAATTGAAAATTATTTTGAGATTTATTAATCTTCCGCTTTATTTGTATTCAATAATGGTTTTGTGATGTGTTTAAATTAAAGTTTTGTTTCAATACTTTTTCAACTGAATTTTGAGGTGAGTCTTACTACAATCAAAGACGGTATGACCAATGTAATATAAAGTCATGTACTCATGTGAAGTCGCTTTGTGACACCTTCTCCACTCTCAAGCTCCCACTACCTTCTCCCCTTCACCTCAGCTCTGTGCCTTTAATTCATCTCATTCCAGATAGATCGGTTGTGAGGTTCAGATACAATGGCTTCTTATCATTAAGCTATTTCATATTTCCATAATAGATATTTTGAAAATAAATGAAAGCACCTCATGTATTGTTTGGAAGAAAAAAAAACTAATTTATTTCCAAATTAAAAAAAAAAAAACACAGTAATTGACTAAAAAGTTACTTTTTTAATATAATTAGTAATATTTTAAAATATTAAATTTAAAGCAAGCAACAAAGATATTCTTTTTTTTTTTTTCACCCTACAAATTAGGAGTGCAACCGATTTCAATCAAGTTAGAGTCACCTTTAACATGAACTTGATTAATTAATTTTGTGCTCAAATTTTATTTTATGTGTTCAAACCAATTTATTTATCATGAAAAGAGAATGATTATTATCTAAGTAAACAGTAAATAAATCATAATCATTATTATTTATAATAAAATCTCGAGCTTGATTTTTTTTTTTTAAGGATGAAATAAAATTTTAGACATTTTTAACAATTTAATAATCAAAACCCTTATATTAATCTTTTTTAAATGAACTGACTTGTGAGCTACCGAATCGAGTCAAAGCTAGCTCAAATTTGACTTGTTAACTCATCAAGTTCAACTCACGAGTCATTTATTAAGTTGAGCTGGAGTCTATTTATAAGTCGGCTTCACTCACACCCTTACTCTAAACTAATAATCTAAAAGCAGCGTTAATCTTATATGCGAACAATTGGTAGTGTGCTCTGAAGCATACTGAACAAATAACAGGCAACAAAATTCATGTAATTAAGATTTACACCCTGATCTCTCTTTAACAGCAAAGTGCGCCGAGTGCTCCAAGTGATGAGAAAAACAGAACAGGGAGAAAATATATAGATTCTTAGAGCAACTTGGCAACTGCTGAAGCCTTTTTAGTGTCATAGGAGTACAAACTTATAAGTTATAAGGATAGCATGAGCAATAAACAAACCATTTACCAAGTTCAATAATCCGAGGAGAATTAACACGACCAAACTCATCACTTTTTAGAGAAATAAACCTCTCTCCGTCCAGGCATCCCACAAGTTTAACCCTGAAAATAATCATGGAAGGCCTACTGTCAACAAGAAGATCATTACAGTGAAGAATTAAAATATAAAAGAATAAAAAAGAATATTATTCTGTGCAGACACCGGACGGAAAGAATCGTCCGGTTTTTCTCTCTATCTACAGTCAAAGCATAGTTACTGTAAAGGTTGATCGAGGCCTTGGCAAAAAAAAAAAGCATAGTTACTGTAGCAAGCTGTGCTTTGCCAGTAGACAGAGAAAACCAGACGATTATCTCTGTCCAGTGTCCTCAAAAAATAAAAAGTCCATAAAAAGAGCTTCGATCTAATGGGGTTTATTCAAATTCAAGAAGATTTAAAATTAATATATATCGTTCAGAAAGAGTTGTACACCTTGTTGGCAATGTTGTTAGAGAGCCAATCGAGACCCTCATACAGTCCCTCGCCAGAAGTAGCACACGTGCTTTGGATGTACCTGAGAAAAATTCCAAAGATTTTCTCATTAAGCAATCTATCGAAGTTAGTCTATAAAGGAATAAAAAGGTTTTCTTTTAGACATAATGAATATGACAATGTAGCATAAATTATAACATTTACGCAGTTGAAATCTTATCAAAAATTCAATTTCTATGCGGATCGATTAGCTGGGAGCTTAGGTTGTCAACCAAGAGATCTAGAATTTAAAACTTGTATATGCAATGTGTGTTTAAGTTTAATTCATTCGAAAGTCCAAAAAAATAATCCAATTTCTTGGATCTAATGCTGATTTGACGACATCATGGAGAATCAGGAAAGCACATCCAGCATACAAATCATCAATGAAAGGATGGCTAACAGCATAACAAACTTAAGTGTGAAAAAAAAAAAACATATTTATCATCAATTCATAAGTTTATCTCAGAATATGATCATTGCCAAACTTGCATTATCTAAATCAAATATTACGCCAATTAAAAAAAAAATAAAAAAATCTAAGAAATCCGACAACCCAACTGAGCCGTAGGCAAACAAGCATTCATTAGAAGTTAACAAAGGAGGATGAAAAGATTATACCAATGTCGTTGACGAAGGGAATGAAGACCAAGTTTATCAGTGATTTCAGCAGCATTCATTGCATTGGGAAGATCTTGTTTGTTTGCAAACACAAGCAGAACAGCATCTCGCAACTCATCCTGTCATATCCACTGGAACAGTTAGCCGCTCACTAATACTTTTTTATTGCTTCTTAAAACATAATTTTAATATAAAAATAAAAAAAATTGTACTGGAACTCTGCTTTAAGAAGCAATAATAAAGTCATCCAAAACGAAACCTAAGTCATTGAGCAATTCAACAAAATTAAATGAGATATACCGCCCCAAATTATATGTAAGACACTTGCAACTTGATTACTGAGGATGACAAATGGCCAAAATCGGGCATCAATGAGTAGTGCTATCTTATTGCAATAACAGACGTTATTTGCTTGGGTTACCATCTCTTGAGACAACAGCGTATTTTCAAATGGCTGGTTTGACCTAACAAAGTAACAATCTAGAGGGCATTTATTATCTGGTTTGCACAGAAATGACAAAGTCTCAATTGAGCTATACCGAAGCAAGCAATGTCTAACATGAACAATAACATACGAATAACTCCATCGAGTTTTTTTTTTTTTTTTTTCAAGCTATAGTTTGGATAATCTCCCCCATCCTGCCTTGCTGAAGTCAACCCAACGATACAGTTCAAGCAGAAACTAACAAGAAAAGTGAATCAACCTAAATTTAGGAGGAAGTACTTTTATGTCTAAAATTTGAGTAGCATATTACTTGAGCTAACATTTAGGAATACATGAGTTACGAATGCCACATAAAATGATGAAATAATTACACTTGAAGGAACAAGTTTTTAGACACGTGTCATCAACCAGACAAAAAAATGAAGGTGATGAAATGTCAAGAAACCTTGAATCTTTCAAGCTCACGTTATCAGAGAAGAAAAAAAAAACTCCTAAAGAGTCTAAAATTCAGAGAACATAAAGTAATCAATTCAAAATTAATTAACTGATTCATTGCATAAAAGCTACTAATTACTAAATCAAGTAATGGAATGTGTTTGGTGCTTCGGTGTTACACTCTGTTGACCTCCTTTTTGGCATTGATCAGCTACATAGCCTTATTGCATATTTCGCGAGTCGATTCACTTTCTTGCAAGTTGCACCGTTGTGTCTAGTCTAATGAAAGGCAAGTTTTGTATTTTACCTAGATTCGTCGTCGGCCTTAAAATTTATTCCTTTTGATTACACGTTGTCATCTATTTTATTCTAAATATGCGTGATTGGGTCAATGCCAATTTTATGTGTATTTTACGTGCATTTGAGCCTTCTATGCGCATGTTTGTTCCGTACATAAAATCATTTGATTGGGACCTTATCTTGCAAAACGGATGGCACCGTTGTGTTCGGCTCGTCAAGATGAATCAAATGAATCTATTCGTGCACGAATCGGACATCTTTTGATACGTGTCGAAAAGAGAGAACATCATGTGCTTTCTATTAATAAATCTGATAATTAGAATAAATTGAAATAAAAAAAAATTAATATATAAATATATAATTTTATTAAAACAAAACACATCATTTAAAAATAAAAAATCTATCTAGTTAATATACATACACATATCTAATAAATGGAAGAAACAAACCTTCACTCAAATTGTCTCATATTAAGCTTACATGTAAAACATTTCAATAATAACCATCCAACTCAAATCAAATGGCTGAAATCTGTTAAGGGGATCACTTTTGAAAGCATTTCAAAGGAAATAGCAGGATTCAATCTTAATCCTTAGATTTAGGGCTTCACTTGATTTTTTATTCTATTCTCATGATAGGTTTTTACTAAGGGGAAGAGAGGGGCTGCTAGGGCTGGCCACATGAGACTCCAAAACCCAATTCCTCCAGCTCTTACTCAGGCAAAAAAGGGAATTAGGGTCGGCCAAGCAAGGGGGCTCTCGTTCCATGATTCTTCTTCCTCCCACACGCCTCCCTCAATCCGTATCTCTAAGGCCAAGTGACCTCTATTCTTTCTCCCTCTCATTTTCACAAGACCTCAAAGCAAGCAACCTGCTGTAGATTTAGGCCAAGATAAAGGGCTATTTGTTGGGTATTTCAGCCAAGAGAGGAAGATTTGCTCTTCATTCGGCCATCAAGAGAAAGATCTGCTCCTCATTCAGCAAGCATGCACCTCCTATAGCAGATTTTGAACAAGCAAAACAAGCTTCAAATTTCGGCCAAGCAAAGTGAGAGATTTTCGTACCTTGTTTTATCTTTATGGCAAGGAAAATATACATGTATACATTTATACAAAGAGACAATGAAATATACTTTTTTTTTCTAGAGATTTTTGGATTAGTTTCCTACTGTTTTGTATAAAATCCCTACAGATTTTTGTATTAGTTTCCTTCTATTTTTGTATAAAATCCATACACATTTTTGGATTGATTTCCTACTGCTTTTGTATAAAATCCTTACAGAATATCGGATTAATTTCCTACTGTTTTTGTGCAAAATCCTTATAGATTTTGGTATTGATTTCTTATTATTTTGTATAAAATCCATATAGATTTTTGCTATGTTTTGCTATTGTTGTTGTACAAGATCTATACAGATTTTTCTTGAAGGATCTATATAAATTTATGTCATGTAAATGTTCCTTGTTTAGATAATGTTTCTTTACTATTTTACTCAAGATACATCTAAATCGTTATAGTATAAATGTCCATCGCTATTAACCATGTGCTGAAATCTTCATGAAGACTTACAATTTGCTGAACTATATATATATTGGAGAATTGAGGGCAATAAGATGAAGTTTTCTAAAATATGCCAAGCTTGTTTGATGAAGTGGATAGAGTCGTCGATAGCTTGTTTTCCATTTTAGTATTTATATTTCGAATGTATCACTGGCTATTTGAGATGAGGATTTTCGGGTTGGACCAAACCCGACCTGTTGACCTATTTTGACACCCATAGTTTAAGCTTAATGCAATGTTATTATAATGGTGAGTTAAAGAGATTGAGATGTTGTGGTTCTGCTTCTTTCATTCTTGAGTTTTGATATTTGTTCTTTAGAAGTTTTAATGAAATTTTTGAGTTGTTACTTCTTGATATGTCTTTTCAAATCAAAATGAATGGATGAGATGAAGAGATTAGCAATCATTTGGGATTTGTTTCTTCTCTTGAGAAGCAAGAAAAGAGAAGTAATAAGTTGAAGGTTCCTTGAGATTCTTGAAAGATTTAAAGTTGCATCAATCCTTTTTTCTTCCTTGAAATTGCATTTGACCTTAAGTATTGAATCGGAGTAAATAGAAGAGTTGTATGGTCGTTGTTGCAAGATGAGTGTCTTTTCATATTGTTTGATGAGTGATTTTCTTTACAATCTCATTAATGTAGGCATGCTTAAGGAGGTCTGATATTAGCAAGCGTTCATATGCAAGATTGAGCTTCAACATTGTGTATATTTGACATTAATAGGAAAACTTTAGCTTAAGCATCATTAGTGACTTAATTAAGTGATTAAGCATGTATTTTTTTTAAACCAGACATTGTTGCCTGTTTAACATGCGACTTGCCGTATTCCAATTTTTTTTTTTTTAATTGATTTGAGAACATAGCCGTTAATGGAAGAGAGGAAGTTAACGTAAAATATTTCAATTTTTTTTTAAATATCAAATCGAGAACCAAGCCGTTATTAAAAGAAAATAAATTAAAACTACTGAGAACATAGCCGTTAATGGATGGGCAACTTACAGAAAATATATTTTTTAAAATAAAATTTTATTCAATATTTTTTGTGCATATGTAACAATGCTGAATAAGACAATAATATGTTGACAAATCGTATTGACAATACTGAGCATTAGAATCCATATGGTCTTATTAAATATTTTTTGTGCATATGTAACAATGCTGAAGAAGACAATAATATGTTATCAAATCGTATTGATAATATTGGCATTAGAATCAATATGGTCTTGTATAGCTTCAGTGATGGGAGATCATGATGAGAGAAAACAACATTGGATTCTGATAATTTTATTAGAAATCTCTATAAATATTTTTATAAGGTGTTATTGATAGAAAACTTTGAACTCTTTTGCACAATATAACTTCAACTATTTAAGTGGCTCTTGATGCATTGGAAGTGAACATTCAATATAGTTTCCTTTACCATGTGGTTTATACATTTAAAGAAGCTATCTGTCTTACCTCGCCTTTTCTTCTACATAATGCATTAGCCGGATAATGAGAAGTGAACATGCAAATACTGAGTATACAACGAGACTTACATAGTTGAAGTTCTATTGTACAAAAGAGTTCAAATTTGTTTATCAATAATACCATATAAAAATCTTTACAGGGATTTCTGATAAAATTATTAGAACCCAATGTTATTTTCTCTCATTATGGTCTTCAATCACTGATGTTATACAAGACCACATGGATTCTAACACCCAGTATTGTCAATCTTATTTGATAATACACTCTTATCTTGTTTAACATTGTTATAAATACACAAAAAAAATATTTAATAATGAATAAATTATTATTATTATGAGTTGTCCGTCCATTAATGACTATATTCTCCGCAGTGTTAATTTACTTTCTTCCATTAACAGCTTGGTTTTCGATTCGATCTTTAAAAAAAATGTGAAATAAGACAAGATGGGCGACTTACCCTAGTTTGCATTAACTTACTCTCTTCCATCAATGAATATATTCTCAAGCTGATTTTTTAAAAAATTTTGGAATAAGACAAGTCACCTATCAAAGGAGTGACTATGCCTAGTTTTAATTTTTTTAATATGTTTAATCACTTTATTAAGTCACTAATGATGCTTAAGCTAAACATTTCCCCAACATTAAATGAGTTTTTAAAGTTTGTTGAAAAATTTATCATATCTCTTTGAGATTACGTGATGTAAGGGTTGATGACTATTTTAGTAAGCTTTCATAAAATTTTTGTTCCAACCTTAAAGAAATTGTATGGCCATGTTGGAAGGTTAATATACATATTCATATTGTGATATTAGTGTATTCAATGCAAAATATGAATAACTTTCTCCTGAATTGTCAAATTATAATGTGAATGTGGAAATAGCATATGTAAAGTATTATGATTCATCTATTCATTCATGTTTCGAATAGAAGTTTATAAATAAAAAAAAATTAAATTCACACAAGTGAGTTGATATGATAATCAAGATAGAGAATGCTTCATATGAATGTCTTACAAGTAATAATTCGTTGGCTTTACTGATGTATAATTCTCTTGTTTAAATCTTATAAATGAAATGTGCTTTTCTTACAAATTCATCTTTGAGAATACATTCAAAGTGGTGGTAGGTTGGAGTAGTAGAGTTTCGACCATTTAACTTCTCTTTCTTTTCATCATTCCTAAAAGTTCTATTTATTCGATTAAAAGCTTTGTGTGTTTGGCATGAGATTGGAGATGGCATGAGTAGATTCATTCATGATTGGAAAGAAGTGAAATTGCATTTGTTTTCTCTTCCCAATTTTCCTTTAACATATGCATCAAGTTCAAATTACAAGTAAGAATGGTGTTGAATAAATTCTTGTTGTTAACAAAAGTTCTATCTTTGTTGTCTATAGTGTAAATCAAATTCAATATCGAGTTTAAATGATTGTACATAAAGTTTCATAATTCACTATGAACATATTTATATCTCTACTATTTGTAAATGAGATGTTATAAATAAGGTGTTATACTTGATTTTATACTCTTGCCTAGAAAGAATAAATGCTAATATTTTGTGTTAATATATATGATTGTTCTAAAGTATTTTCTATGAATTTTCTATTTGTATACATTTATAAATTAATATACATGAAATTCTAACACCTACTTATCTCTTTGTGTTATATTTTCATTTGGGAGGAAATGTGAAGATACTTGGACTGCGAGGTCAAGCTTCCTCCTCCCTCCATCTCGCCTTTGTAAGACTAGAACAAATCGGTTGCATCATTGACTCCCTCCAGTGAGATAAACTATCTAAAACTTAGAGCCTCATAGGTCTTTAAAGCCTTGCATGTGCCTAGGATTCCTCTAAACCTTGTGTTCTTCTAGAAACCCAACATTAAAGTGCTCAATGTATATTTGTATATTTCAATTTCAAAGGTTATAAAATGTTCAAAGATGTTAGTTTACATAAATAAATAGGGCTCCAAAGATAATTCCCTCTCCTTTGAAGGTGTTCTCTTTTAAAACTCTATAGAAGACTTGAAGTTAGAAGAAACTAAGCAAATGCATTTGAACTTAAATTCATTATAGTAAAAATCCAATCATGTTGTGGTGGAGCTTGGCTATCTTATTTTAGTAGACCATGGAAAAAAACATTCTAAATAAATGAATAAAAGATTTTCTTTAAGCATTTGCTTAATGCATCATCTTATATGACACTAGCTATATACATTTGCATATTATAAAATATTGATTAAACTTTCTGGATTAAATATATTAAATTCCCTAAGATTAGAGTCATCATATCTTGCATTCATAAGACGATTGATTGTGTTTAGGATGTTAGCTGATAGCTCACTCCAGGAAAGCATAAGCCTAGATTGTACATCTCTCAAGTGTGTCTTCTCTAACTCCTGATAAATTTTAAATCTATAATTTCTTCAATGATAATAAATAACATTCCTATGCACAAAATCAAGAAGAGAATAAAATAACATTCCTAATAGAGAGTATTATTAGACCTTGGCCTAAAATGTAATTAACCATAGAGACTTACGTCCGCGGGTAACCAACTCTCACATCAAATCAACCCAATTCGAGCTGATGTATTGAATGGGAGAAATATCATGATTATTGAGTCATATATACTACTGTCTATCAAGATGTATAAACGAAAGACAATATTCTCATGGATAATTATATGTATGATTGTATCTATTATACCATTGACCTGCTTGCATAGATTGTAATATTTACAACCATTTTGTCCTATAAGATTGTGCGATTGTATCTTTTACATTCAACCCCCGCGAGCAAGATCCTTTCGTAGACCCACACACTCCAAAGATAGTGTAAGTGGTGATGTGTGATCGTATCTTTTACATTCAACCACCGCGAGCAGTATCCTTTCTAAGTGGTAAGTTCCTCATTTAGATAATAAAAGATTGGCTACATAAAATGGAAAATATATTTACTTGAATGAATGAATTTGCAAGTAAAAGAAAACCAGCCTCAATTTAGTACTACTCATCTCTTTATATGTATGCCCCTTTCTTCCCCAGTCAAACAATGCAACCCCAAGCACAAACACTTCATTAAAGCAATGCCCATACTATAAATAGCAAATGTCACATCATAGTGCTAAGGTCTCCATGGAATCATAGTGCATGGTGTAGTATAAACAATTTTAAACTTGACACAAAATATTAAAAAATTATAAATAACATGCAGCTAAATTGAACATTTTTTTGGGTACCTAATACTAATAAAGATAACAAATACTAAAATATGTATGCTAGAAAATTTTGAATAAAAATATATATCAAATAGAAAAAAAAAAGATCAGCAAAAATTCAAAAATGAAAATAAAAAAGATAAGAAATAAATAAAATATCACATTGCGGATAGGGTGGTAGAGAGCAATGGTACAAAACAATTAGAAAGAAATAATAAAGGAAAACCAAGGGACAAAAAAAAAGCTCAAGCAATATCAAATGCTTAGGAATACACCTTTATCAAACCCTAGTCCTTCGTCGAAAATGGTTTGAATATTTGGCCTTGGTGAGTATGTCGGTCTCCAAAAGTGTGTTTGGAACTTTGTCAAGTCCTCTTTCGTCTAAGATGGTTTGAGCATTCAGATTCAACGAGACTCAACAAGAGAGAGACGAATGATGGTTTGATGCTCAGTATACGGTGTTTGGAAATAGAGATGACACTGATGAAAATGGTTTGAGAGAGAGACGAAGATGCTTGGCTTGCAGCATTCTCAAGTCACGACCAAAAGAAGCAAAGAGGCAAATGACATGATAGACAAAGATGCAAGAGCTTCATCCATTGGGATTGTTGGAAGTCATCATACTCTAATAAATTTTAAGTGGGGCAAGAAAAAACTAGAAAATTTATAATTAAAAATACAAATTTTCATTTTGGGCCCTAAATTATAAATATTAAAATAAGGGCTTTGCATAATGCGCAATCGCCCTTAGATGACTCAAACAGAGTGCGTCATTTCATCCCCTACGCCATGCACACTATGTGCCATGGCATGCACTATTTTGTATTGTTGACATGTATTGTAGTGCCCATTCTTAGTACAAATAAATGACTAACAGTTCTGTAAAACTTATCCAGAATTCAGTAGCAAATCCCATGAAACAACATTAACTTTTTTTCCTTCTTTTTTTCAACACTATTAAAAAACTTAAGATCCTAAAACCATTTTCTCCTTTCTTTGGTTTCATTTTTCTTGCACTTAGAAGGAATAACTAAAATTAAGACATAAATTCAATTTTAGTCATTATATCTAATGCAAATGCCTTTGAAAAAAGGTTTCATGGATCAATAGAAATAATGCTAACAAAAATTTCTCCTACCCATTCAGCCCATCGATGTATGCTATTATATTTTCCCTAACCCAAATGCCACCCAATTCAGAACTACAACACCACTGCCTGGGCCCATAATCCTCGCTTCCTCATGTTCCCCAAAAAAACAATAAATAAGGATGCCGAAAGGGGGATTTTTCTTGTGTCATATTAAATACCATCAGAATGAAATGTAGTAAAGAACATGATTATTAGGTTAGTCCTATTATTTTGTACTTGCTACACTAATTTTTGGTCTCTAGGAAGTAGTTATCTCCCAGCTGATGCTTTAAGGAATGCAAACATGGGAGCATGCTAAAGCAAAGAGTTGATAAAAAGAAAAAAAAAAATACAACCAAAATAACTTAAGCAACTTATATATATGAATAGGCCATGAATAAGAACATTCAAAGAAAGAAGGTTAGGCAACTAATGGCACATAACCCATCAAAGAAAGTTAAAAAAATGAGACATACCTCATTGAGCATTCTATGGAGCTCATCCCTTGCCTCAATAACACGGTCTCTGTCATTGCTATCTACAACAAAGATAAGACCCTGGGTATTTTGGAAATAGTGCCTCCACAATGGACGGATCTGTTTTTTAATGATGTTCCATTTCATGAATTCATTCAATTTGAATGAAATTATAATTATTAGAAGTGGTGCATTGAAATAATAATAAACAAATTGAAGAATGTAGTATAAGTATGTTTAAAACATCCTAAAAGGGGTGGGGGACTCTTGTAAAATTGTTCAAATGCAGAAAGACTTTCTAACTAAAACAAGCATACAAGTGATATATGTCATTAGCATAATGAACTGTAACTGTAAGTGCTCACTACAAATTTAGCTTTCTGAACACCTCATAAATCCAACATGGAGCTTGAAATCACAAAGCTTTGTTGAAGAGATTGGAAAAGTACCTTGTCCTGACCCCCAACATCCCAGACAGTGAAGCTAATGTTCTTGTACTCTACAGTCTCGACATTGAATCCTTCATAAGAACAAAATAAGTCAGACCAATATTATTCTGTATGGTATCAAGAATGGATACCATTTAACTAATTAAATCCTTTTATAAAGCTATAAGATATCCTTTTTAACTATTTACCGCAATAAGAAATAGTGTGATGGCATAAGGCTCATATGAAAATTCATTAAATACAAAAAAAGAGACTGAAACATGTAAACTAGAAGTCAAATAGATAAAAACTGAATTTTGGAAAAAATATCCAGTCTCAGAAGATTAATCTCAACTAAATATACTAGAATCCATTAGCATAACATCCTTTCCAAGAAGGATCAAATTCACCAGAAAACTATATGAGATATGTACTTCTGAACAAACAATGAGATAGAATTTTGTATGAATTATTTTAAATTTTACGATTCAACACCAGCCAAGTCCCTTCTGTAGCTGGTGTCATTATCAAATTGCTGAGTATTACAACCTGAGTAGCCTAGTTATTCATCTTTACGGTGAAATATAAATCAAAGATGATTATAGCACTAATACTTCATGTAATTCTTAGGCATATACAAAAATTTGACATGTAGACAAACAGCTATCAATTACAAAGATACGGGGTGTGATATACTTAAAAAAAACACCACAGACTAATGGTAATAGCCATTTAAAGCACACAGCCACATATAAAGCTAGCTAAAAACATATCCTCCTACTACCGTAGAAATATAATAACACAACAGCACGGCCCAAAAATCATATCCATATTCCGTAATCTTTCATGAGTAAAGCTTTCTGACAAATTGAGAAAATAATGCACCATACATCTTCATACCACAATTCATGATTGCCTAAACCCTCAACCAGAAAATTGGTAGAAAAAATACTGAATTTCAACAAGTTAATGCCAAAGAATCAAAACCAGATCCTCCAACCACACAAGTGAACAAATAAACATGGAAAAGTAGAGTGCTCACCAATGGTAGGAATGGTAGTAACAATTTCTCCCAGCTTGAGCTTGTACAGAATTGTCGTCTTACCAGCAGCATCAAGCCCAACCATGAGAATCCTCATCTCCTTCTTGGCAAAGAGACGGCTAAAGAGCTTCGTAAACGTCAGCCCCATCTTATTTTCTGTTCTATCAACGCAAATACTCGAAATCAGAACCAAAACAAATAAAATACGCCAAGACCCAACAGATCCATACAAACCCCTCACACAACCGCAACCAACCCGTAGACAAAACTCCAACAGATCTATGAAATAAACAAATTAGCCTAGCGTGTGCAAAAACCCACTGAAATATCCCTAGATCTTAAAAGCAGATCTCAACAGGAGATCATAACAAAACTATCGAGAGCAATTACCGTGGAACAACAAAAAAAGGGATAAGATCGATTATAAAATAAACAAAGATTCTGAAATCTGGAAATTGCCTGGGGCTTTTTCAAGTCAGTCGGGTGATCAAGGAGCAAAGGTGAGAATGGATGGTTGTTGGTTCGTCTCCTCTGGTTTCGATCTTCCTCCGCTTCTCCTCCCGGTTTCTTCGCGTTTGGAGGAAAAGACGGATTACGGTCGGTCAGGGCTGCTTTTAATGGCATCCACGTGCTGAACCTGACGGGTCTACTTGTTGGCATAAATGTTATGAAGCAGAATAATAAGAACTGGCTTAGTCTGCTAATGATAAATCAAATGATGATAATTAATTATATTAAAAATTTTGAGCTGTTACTTACTCCCATTGTAAGATAAATTGGCTAATTTTTTTTATGATAAAATTTTCTTTTGAGTGTCAGGCAATTTACGGAGTTGTTAACCAAAACAGGTTAGTTGTTAACCAAAGCGGGCAAAAGGAAAATAAATTAAATGACAAAGAATTTAGGTTAGAATTTTTCTGGCCCACAAGAAATAAAATTATTACATATTTATTGAATTGTTTAAAAATGAAAAAGCCACCGCCACTTGGACTTCAAATGCAATTTTACATATCTTTCAAAATATAACTTTTTTAAGGTGAAATTAAAAAAAAATAATGTAAAAATTGTCATTAAGATAAATGTAAATGTAATTTTTATTGAATATTTTTTCTGATGCAAAAATAATAAAAAATGATCACAAATAAAAACTTAGGCTTCATTTGGGACATCTTTATTACTGTTTTATTTTTCATACTACAGTCATAATTTTTATTTGATCAAAAATTTATTATTTTCAAAAAAAAAAAATTATGCTAGGAAGTTATTTTATATATCAATTTTTAAAAAGTACTTTCTATTGCAACTTCACAAAACATTAGGAATATCCTCAAATAAGTGATCTTGAAGCTCGTCCCTGAACTCATATGTGAAATGAATTGAAGCCCTTAAAACTTACCTATGATTACATTCTATCCATGTATAGTGATTTAGGTCGGATTTCATGACCAATTTTGATCAAGGCGAGCTTAAAAGATTGACACATATCGGTTTTCTTTTGGCATGATAATTATATTTCTTGAAGGTCACTTAGCTTGATAATGTAGAAATACATGTTCCTTTACTTGGGCTCACATGTGGTTTGATCTCCAATATTCATTAGACATTTTCTTTACATTCAATTTGTAAATGATCCATATAAGTGCAAGTCATCGTATTCAATTTCTGATCCAACAACAAAGTTCATATAATACACTTCTAATTAAAGCTTCATTTGGGACGGTTTTCTTACTGCTTCTTAAAGTAACTTTTCAGTATAAAAATTAAAATTTTGAACTAAAATGATATTTTTAAGAAACAATAAGAAAACCACCCCAAACGAAGCCTAAATCCACACATTAGAACCTTGAAATTCAAGAACTACAACCTTAATTTACACATTATAATGGATAGCACAATAACAATAAAGTACAACAACTATTATCGTGACACAAAATAAGCATGAAATTGTAGTTGAAATTCTCATGATATTGTCATGTGGAGGAAGCCATTGATCCAACCTTCGAATTGCAATCCAATATTTCAAAAGATCAAGATGTTTTTTCTTATATGATTTTGTTTAAAAAGGAGTTCATGTTCCTCATCATTTACATTATGAGAAAATAAGCTAGAATGACTTAAAATCCATGACATTTTTCTATAACTTTGGAAGCAAATATTATTTAATTTGTATTTGATTTAGATTCAAGTAACAGAAACTATAAGCCAAAAAATTTCAGTACAGAGAAGTTCAGAATGTTAGTTGGAGAAAAATGCATGTACCAAAGTATTTTCTTACCTCTCATCATGAGTGGCCAGCCAACTTTTCTTAAATTCAATTGAAAATAAATATGATTCAAAGCTTCTTGCAACTTACAAGCAATAGAACTCAACTTACTTCACATGCCATGCATATATTATCTAGTTAACCATATTGGCCGGCCAGTAAGGTCAATGCAAAACTCCATCATTAATTCTAAGCATAAATAACAACCAAATGACATCAAACCAAATCAAATCAAACCAACCCAATTCCATTAAAAAAAAAATCAAATAACAACTACGCTAAGAGTATATACTGACTGGAGGAGGATAAGAAGCAGCCGAATTAAGCGTACTCGAGCTTGCCCTTTCCTCCGCCAGGCCGCCACCACCATCATCATTATTGTTGTCAATATTGCCATTATCATAATCGATCCCCTCGAAAAGATGCTCGATATTCTCCTCAAAACCAACGCAATCAAACAAATCATGGAGGTTATTAGTTTCCTCAAAGTTAACTTCTTGAGAAGAGTCGAACTCCTTATTCTCCATATCTGACCAGAGAAGATCTCCAAAGTCATCTGGGACTTGTATGTTGATAATGTCAGAAAGCTCTTTGTCAAGAGACTTCAATGAGGAAGGAGACGGCATAATCATGGAATAGTTGGGCTCTAGCATTGGCATTGGCGATGGGGGTGGATGGCTTGTATAGTAGCTAGTGTTGAAGTTGGTCACCGCATTGGGGCCTCTGTATTCTAAGGCGGCCATGTCGTAGGCTTGGGCTGCCTCTTCTTGTGTGCCTACAAGCAAACATTATAATATATAAAAATAATAATAGTAAAGGAACAAATTAAAATGAGGCGTTATATGAATGAAATTTTCTTATGGAAGATGTGAAAACGGCATGGGAAGAGGAACCATACTGAAAGTTCCCAAGTAGAGATATTTGTTGCCATGGATGCGTCCAATCCTAGCCTCCCATCGACCATTGTGGTGATGCCTGTACAAATTTTTAGAAATTAATTTTTATTTACATGCAATTTTCAAAATATTTCACCTACAATAAAATAATGAGAAGCATTTACGCATTAACGAGTGAATCAGGATTGAGGCAAGTCAAACCTTCAAATTGATTTAGGCTTCATTTGAGACGGCTTTCTTATTGCTTTCTAAAGCAACTTTTTAGTTTAAAATTTTGTAGAATGTACTAAAAGGCTGTTTTAGAAAATGGTAAGAAAATTGTCATGAAAGAAACCTTAGGCATCATTTGAGATAGTTTTTTACCACTAAATGTTGATTACTTCCAAGTAATTTTTGTACTAAAAAGTTGCTGTAAAAAATAATAAGAAATCTGTCACAAAGAAAGTCTTAGCCGTAGACCAGTTTGGTCTTCATTTGGGACGGCTTTTACCGCATCTTAAAACAGTTTTTTAGTACAAAAATTAAATTTTTGTACTAAAAAACTGTTTTAAGAAGCAGTAAAAAAAAAGTCATCTCAAACGAAGCCTTAATTAAATACGTGGTTTCGCATTCTCTTTGAATCCTCTTATTTTTTTATTTGCAACTGGCAGGGTGAGGTTTACCTAACGAGCTGATCACCTATATTTCAGAAAAATGCTAAAATACTATTCTCGTTAATGTAATCCCCAAGCATTGATTATTAATACGTTATAATCTAATTTACTCTATTTTTCCTTAGAATCATGCACATGTAGAAATGCTGACATCACGTGTTAGAATCAGCACAAAATATTAAGACTATCAGAATACGTCTGGTTCATTCACAAGCTATGACACATTGGATACTTCTTTTTTTTTTTAATATTGATCTGCATATTGTATGTAGAGACACATAAACCACATTGCTCTGAATGTTACAAAAAAGCTTAGGGCATCTCCAACCGAACTCTAAATGTTTGTATGATATCGCTTGAGAGCTCCAGCTGAACGGTAAAACTTCCACTATTTGGTTGCGCGTGAACAGTCGGAAGTCAATATTGACGTTGCACTGTTCATCTTTTCTATTTTTTTATCTCTATCAAACTTGTCGAAGAAATGCACCAAAGAAGAGAACAATCATTACCTTTGTAAAATGGGCAAAATGGAGTTCGATTGAAGCTGAATCACTGCATTTTTTAGTTTCACTTCATTTTGGAGTGAAAAATTAGATTTTTTTATGGGAGATGCCCTTAGATGTATCAAACTTTGTTAAGAAAAAATACAGTATTGTTATTTTGATGAGATTTTACCTTGCAACGCCTCTATATTTAGATACTCCTCTGGAGAAGCCACTGCTTCTTCGCCTAAGAGTAGCCAAGTATTCTTCCTTTGACATGCTCTGCATCTCCTCGAACTCTTTCAAATAGGTGTTTGCCTTCATGCAAAAAAAAAAAATTAAGAAATGTAATAAAACATGCATGAATTGCAATAATTAGCACGAGATTTCTTCGATAAAAGCTAATTACAGGGAAATTAAGCACTGTATCAGGACCCCAGTACTTAAGTGCGGCAAGGTCGTAGGTATGAGCTGCAGCCTCCTCATCATCATAGGCCCCTTCACCATATCACCATCAGCCCATGCAATCAGATCATGAAAATCGGCAATATTCCAGAAAAAATAAGAAGCAATAAGCATTTTAGATGATTAACTCACCCAAATAAACTAATCGCCCAGTCCATAAATATTCCAAGTTCCCAAAATCAACCCAAAAACAAAAGAGAAGAAACAGATGATTAATATTTCAAATATCAATAATGCGGTATAAAATCTGAGATTAAAAGGCTTCGTTTGGGACGGTTTTCGGACTGTTTCTTTAAGCAGCTTTTTAATAAAAAAAATTTAAGAAGCATAAAAAAAGTCTATCCCAAACGAAGCCTAACTCATGATCTCTGTAGCTATAAACCTTGTCTGCCTTTCTTGTTATGCATGAGATTCCAGCTATTCTTGTCCCACAGATGAGCTTCATATCTTCCAGTCCACCTATGCCTGTAGTTGACATGCAAACATATATGGATATACTAAAGCAAAAAAATCAGAGAGCAAAAGAAGAAAATTGTATAAAAAGAATGACCTGGTGACTCCTCTATAGATAGAGCTTCGCTTCCCACAAGCACTGGTGCTTCCTCCCACATTGTTCTTGTCAGTGATCGCATGGGCATTCTTGCTTCTCTTGTGCCTTGGCTTAGAAATAGGAGGAGGAGAGGGAGAAGAGAAAGAAGAATTTGATTTCTCCATCTGAAAATTTGGGTGGGTTTAAGAGAAGGAAAAGGCGTTTTATTAAGCTTTTAGCTTGCTTTTAATTTGGGGGGTGGCTATGAGTGGTTCAACAACATAAGGAGAGAGTAGATGTATAATGAGAGAAAGAGGAAGGCCATGTGAGTCTTTTTGGACAATGAGTTTGGTGTGTCTGAGTGAATAAGACAAGGGTCAAAAAGAGTTACAGGTTACCAAGGCTCAAAAGAGGCTTGGGTTTGTGTGAGAGAGGCTACACTTGGCAATTGGGTTGCCATGCTCCCTATGAGCAGCTCTGCACTTCTGCCTCCACACAGAGGGAGAGAGAAAGAGAGAGAGGGAGAGGGAGATGTGGGGTGGGAAGGGCATAAATTCATCAAATAAGGATATATAGAACTTCTTCGAAATAATTATACACTGAAATTCAGATTTATTGTTAGATTCAACAAAAAATGATATAAGATCATGTGTAGTTGGTAGAGGCTTTGGTATTATTAAAATGATATAAATATTGGCATGAATAAATTACTATATTATTTTTTCAGTTGAAAATAAATTTTGTTTAATGAGATCTGATTGAATAACAGGGGAAATTAGAGACCATATATAAGGGGTTATTTTTTTAGATAGGATAACTTAAAAGTCCTTCAATTAAAGTCAAATAACTTTTTATTGTAAGTAAAATTTTTTCTTTCATAATTTATTTTGATATAAATTTTTGCCTAATTGAATTTATTTAGAAGGATTTAATTTTGTTGAATGGGAATGATTTCCAACACGAGAAGGTGCCATTTAACTCTTTGCCCACTTAGATTTGTGCCATTTAATGCTAATTGTTGGGAAGTAAAATCACGCACGAAAATAAACAAAAAAAAGAATAGAAGTGCACCGAAGAAGAAAGAACATCATGATTTAATATAAAAATATTTAAAAAAAAAATCACGAAATCACATTACACTATACTAATAAATTCACTATAAAAATTGGGAGATTGCAAAGATATCTCTTTTCACACTCTCTTTATCTCTCCTTACTTCTCACTTTGTAATCAACTCAAAATATATAAGAGACACTTAAAAACATTTAAAGGATGTTTTTGGATGTAACCCTTCAACTAATTAAAATAAGAAGAAAAAAGATAAATATCTTAGCCCACTGAGGTATGGAGTACTGCGACACTTCACACTTTGTCTCTAAGTTCATTCTGCAACGCCATGAAGCTTATTGACCAAATATCGCTTCTATTGATCGAGCAGTACAATCAATATCGTATAGTACGATCTAAAACTTAATTAATATAAATTCCATTGATTATTCACAAGGTTAAAATAGAAAATATTTTAAAGCATTGTACAATACGATTAGGTTCATACAGTATGAATAGAACAAAATTCAAAATTTAAATTATTGCCTAATTTAATTAACAACAGGATTTCTTAAAATATATGATCGTCCAATATGATTAAGTGGCCGTAAAGTATGATTGTATATATATATATATATATATTGTATAGTATGATCTAGATTAATTAAATATTTATCATTAATTTATGATTACACATATCGTATAGTATGATCTAGATCATTCAGTACAAATCCACATTGTCCAGTACTATTTAAAAAAATTAAAATATTTATTTTCACTCCCCCTGTGTGTGTGCACGATTGCTAAGTTAACATACAACTTTTTACATTGACTAACTCAAGAAAATAAAAAGGGCATACTCTTGTTTAAATTAATCATATACTATCCAGCCTTAAGTTCTGATTTTCTAACGATGTTTGGTGTATGCTAAACCCGAAATATTAGTGCACATAAAAAATATATACAATAATAAAATATTAAAAAAAATAAATACAATCTAAAAATATTTGTTATCATCAAAATATTTGACTCCCGAATTGTAATAGGTGTACCATTATACATGCTCTTAATCATACTAATGATTTTGGCTCTAGTATTACTTCAATATTTTTGTTGCTCTCAGTCATGTGGATGATTTTGGCTATCATATTACTTCAAATTTTTTATTCCTTTCTACTCATATCATTGCTTATTATATACGGGTTGAAAGAAATTACAATTTTTTTAGTGATAGAAAATCTGTTTTTGAGATATTGATATTAAAAATTCATTCTGTAATTTAGATTAAAAATAAGAAATGACATTTAAGATTGATTATCTTGATATCATTAGAAATCTCTATTTTAGATAAGGTCTAGAGCTTTGTTGTCTGTTGGTCGAATTTTCTTACCGTAGTATAGTTTTTTTTTACCATCAGGTTATAGTTTTCTTTTTTCCTTACTACTGAATACAGGGGCGGAGCCATTCCTAATTTTTAGGGGGGGGCATATAAGGCATATTTGTCGGGAGTCTTTGGGGCATCGGCTCCATAACAAATTTTAGTTTGAAGGATATTTTTGGAATTCAATGATGAATTCTCTTTACTATTTGTGGGGGGCAATTACCTAAAGACCATGGTATTTTAAAAGTTTTAGGGGAATTGCCTAAAAACCCTTGTAATAAATACTAAAAAATAAATAAAGAGGGATAAATTACCGAAAAAATCAGATAATCAATTTTTTTTAAAAAAAAAATTTAGGGGGGGGGGGTGAATATGTACTGTATGTATTGTCTATGCTTAATATACAATCATTTGTGCCTATTGCTCTAACAATTATAAACATTGTTTTTGTCAATTGCTGCCGTAAAGTTAATTTGTTTGTTCTACCTACTCTAGAATGTCACATGAATAATTTTATGAGTTTACATATCCCATAATTTTTGGAGGTGAGAGTGCACGGAATATTTCAATTTTTTCGTGCATTATTACATAATTTGTATGAGGAATATGTTACATGCTTTGAACAAGAAGTTAAAGGGGCAGGTGAAACTTTTAGATTGGGGAGAGAAAGACTTCAATCGGAAAAAGTAGCAGTTCAAGAATGACCAAAGAAGGTGGATAAAAAAATATAGTGGGTGGTTTGATTTCGCGGCTTATGTATCTGAAAAAACCAGTAATCAACTTGCAAAATTATATTTAGCTAAATATTTTAAAGATGGTCTAGAAATTTGTCCAGTTGATAGGACATGCAATTGTATTGCATGGTGGAAGAACGACCAAATGAAATATCATATATTATTTATATTGGATGAAAACATACTATCAATTTCTATTATTACAGTTGCTTCATAATCTATATTTTCAGCATGCGAGAGAGTTGTAGATACTTATCATTTTAAATTGGGTGTTGAAACATTACAAGCTTTGATATGTAGGTCAAACTGGGTTTATGCCCAATATGGATTGAAAGGCATGACAAATGTATTAATTTGTTATTATTTATATATTTTTAATAATTGTTATTTATTTGCTTACATATTGTGATGTTTATCTTTTGGAGGAAGAGGAGGAGGAGGAGGATAAGGAGATTGAGATTCAATTACCATCTACTTAAAATCATTTCCACGGTAATTTGTATCTTATTCAATATTTTCTAATCAAAGCTACTGTTTAATGCAAAGGAGATAACTTTAAATTTTATGATTCGTAGATTAGCAACAAATCATAAAAATTACCATTACCGTTACATTCAATTTATGCAAAGAGTTAACTTTTTTTTTTTTGTCATTTGCGGGTTATTAAAAAACTGAATGGCAAATGTTAGAGAAGCATGAAAAAAATAAAAATTTTAATTAACTTTATAATCTTCTAATGTCATATTTGTTAAGTGAAGTTTGTGAGAGAGATTTGTAGCTATATCTGCAATTTGGATAGGCCATTTGAAACATTCAACTATTTTATTATGTTCATTAATATGAACTGTTTGGCTGTTAAGCAGCAAATATGTCAATGTTTATAATTGTTAAAGCAGCAGGTGCAAATGCAAAAGAAACTCAAGGCTTTACAAGTTGAGCCGACCAAGCTTTTGCTGAGATGGTTTTTATGGAGTTTCTCTATGTTTCCTATGGTGATGACAAAGCTTGCATGTGATACAAGCATAGAAACTTTGTACAGAATTTGTAGCAATGGACAGATCTTCCTGGGTTAACTTTCTTATTATAAATCTATTTGAAAATAGAATGGGTGATTTTTGCAAACTTTGTTATCAAGAAATGTTATACCTTATTTGGGTTTGTTCATTTAACTAATGTACTCTATGAAAATGTAATGGAGCTATAATGTTGTATTAATTATATGTATATTTTATGATATTTTAAAAAAAATTGTATTATTTTTTTTCCCTTATTACAATTTTTTTTTAAATAGTTGGTGAATGGGCTATGTACTTTTTTTTTTCACAAAAAAGAGGCTTGGAGTTTGGAGCTATCTACTTAATGCCAAACTAATTTTTTTTTTTTACAAAAATATTGAGAATTTGAAACTAGCTTACAATAAAATTTTTATAAAAATGCATTCTATTATAGCCTGCAATCAAGTCGAGCTCAAGCCAGTTATTCGTGCTTGAGCTAACGAGCCAAGTTCAAGCTAGATGTTCGGACACATGAGTCGAGTTCAAGCCGCCTAAAAATTGTGCAAGCCTAGCTCTAATTTGATATGGCTCGAGCTCGACTCAACTTGTTTATACACAACACTCGACCGACATAATTGAGATATGAGTCAACAGTACAACCTGATTGATCGACATAATCATATTCCATGCAGAACTAAGACTAATGAAGATTAATATTCCACGCATATACAAAATTCCTTTGCCATCTTTTGCCTCTATTTCTTTTTTCTTTTCTTCTAGTATTTCTAGTATTTAGAGTATATAAATTGAGATTTATATATAGTATTTAGCTATTTAGTATTTCTAATTTGTTAATTTCTACAATGAAGCTAGAATAATCTATTCTCTATTTCATATGAAATGATTCATAATATATGAATCTAATATACTAATATAGAAAGATATATTAATCACAAATTCATAATGCATGCAATCATAATATTTTGATATAACTCTTTGCCTTATTGAATTGAATTACATAGATTTAA